AGATGTATGGCTGATGCTGAATCCTTCTGGATGTATAGACTTCATACATCAAGCGAAGTTGATCAGCTGTAGCTAAGCCTGTGCATCTGCGAGATCAGATCCAGGACACAGACTGGTGCACTGTAGAAAGTACGGGGCACATTAAGTACGCAACATGGCCTTTGCTTGTGTAGGACAGTTGTTACCACAGTTACCAATTCCTATGTTTTTTTCTTTTTTTCTCTCTCTTTTTTTACATGCAAAGAGTTCAGTTCGCCACTGGATACACCAATTCTTGAGACGAGGGAACCGCAGATAGACTCATTTACCAGGTCTTTTCCGCTTTACCCTTGCAATGTGGGGTGATCATAGCCGATCTTATGATAAGATGTCATCGCTGGATACTTTGATGACGGGGAGGATCATCAACCCTCACAGGCGGCATTAGTAGGCGAGCATAATGGCCAAACTTTGGAGGGCAACGCTCAAATCCACTACATACTCAAAGCAGCATAGATAGTGGCTTTATTGGCGTGATCATTTCCCATATACAGTAGTACTGTTATGCACGGAGTAGGGTGCTCTTCTTGATAGGAAGATTTGGGGATTTCCCTTCCTGTCACGGTGGCGGGTGATGGGTCATGGACGGAGAAGCCATGTCTTGAAGTTGGTCAAGTCTGGAGCCGAGACGCGTATGGATCAGCTACACCGCACCTACGACCTGTGTACTGTTTACACTCGTTATTAAGATCCGGTTTTGATGACAGGCCATACAGATGCCAAAAAAGGGGTCTAGAGATGGATTGGTCACCGCTTGTGTCACTTGACCGGTGACAGGCTTCAATAAACCACTCGGTGGGAACGGCGAAGAATGGAGACTATCAGTCACCGTCTTTTTGAGGTCCATAGCAGTATCCTCTCTCCCCCTCTTCTTTGGTGTTCTTCTCGTTTCTTCATTTCCATTCATGAAAGATGGGAGGAGGGGAAGGGATGTATGCTCTGGGGAGAAAGAAGAAAACATTGAGGGGTTTGTGTTCTCCATACACAGTAAATGAGGACTGTGCGATGCTGTGGAGGGCCAACCAACCACTCGAGAGAATCACGACTCGTAATCTTGCCGGCATGACATCTGCTTTCCCCCCCATTAATGGTCTTTGCTCTTCTTGCCACGGAGTGTCTTCCTCCCGCTACCTGGGCTACGCGAATTTTGTTTATTTATTTCTCCATCTGTTTTGGTGTCTCCTTGGGTGGCATCATGCCATTTGGACTGTGAATTTACATAATCACGTTTTGTCCACAATAATCGCGGCTGTTCTTCCAATAGAGAGAAGGCTACCCGACATTAGTCCAAAGTGACAACCACCACCACCACAACAACTGACAACGTCAAAGACAGAAAAAAGTTTGTGCGTGGGATTTGAAGAAGAGGGGGAAAAGCCAATGATTGCAATTTCTTGGAAAGTTTCGGGCACCAGCGCAGAAAGGGAAGGGTGGGTGACTGGTACCGGAGTCCTAGACGACTGGCTGATGGGCCTCCACCCCCAAAACGGATAGATCAGAGGGTCGGAAGACGTGGTTCTCATGGAACAAACGAGCTTAGTCGACCGCCGGCCGTCTGAGTTACCAACCAAGGGTGATTGGGAAGACCCAACAGTGGAGCCGCTTCATCCGAATGAGTGGATGAAATGCATTTCGCAAGCGGATACCGTGGACCTGCTGATTGCGCCGGGGCAGTCGGGGAATGCGGGTCCCCACTCGGCGTGAGGCCCGTCCCCGCTACCCGACAGACCCGGCTATGGATCTAGTTCTCTAGTCAGCCAGTAGTCGTTGCGTCCGGCGAGATGGTGAGGATTACGATGGAGTCCCCAAACGGATCCGTTACCAACAAATGGAACTCCTGGGTGTCTCGCGGCCCAGTTGACCTATCTCGCTAGCAGCTCCGCTGCTCCTTAGGGAACTCTTAGCCCTGCTACTATGCCAGTAGCTTTCGAAGCCGGCTCCTTCCAAGAGCGTTCCAGAAGGATGAAGGACGTTCGTGGAATCGACGAAGAAGGAGATCAGGAGACGAAAATCTCGCAATTACCTTCTCTAGACAAAGAAGCTCATCGTGAGCGGCACCCCGTCGGCTTTGCCGCTTGAGTTAACCGTTGGAACGGAATAACTATGGGTAATAATATTGAGAGTGGCTATCTATCGTCGACGGACTACGGAACACTATGGAGGATCAACAAAGAATTCCCTGCAGGTTAAGCCGACTAAAGACCTTCTGGAACGCCACTAAGGATTCCACATTATTAATTCTCAATTGCCCCAGTCCATGACCTTCTTCGGGGGGTTGTGATCAAAAGTACCTACGAGCTTAGGCAGGTACAGGATGTGCTTGCATCGGGATGTGCGTTCTCCAGATGGATACCTCTGCCCAGTTTCTGCTCTTACTCACATGGGTGCCACCTTTCAGTGGGTGCGCTGTGTCTACTCGACTGTGTACAGACCCTCCTGTTGATCAGTCCCATCTAGCAAAGACAAATTTCATCAAGGCTGGCCAATCGTGATGTGAGTCAGGCTTGTGTTGACCCTGACGAAACATGATTGCTGGATTAGCCGGCTGGACTTGCAGTAGTCTCAGGGTGTCTGCATTCCCGCATGCCAGATCTACCCTTTTCCCTCTTTTTGGCTCCCATTTTCCAATTTCTCCGACACGGTGTGCAGAAGACTGTGTAGATCGATGGGAATCCTACTAGGATATCGGAGTACCGTGTAGAAAGTCCGATGAGAATGTAATCTCGCTTCAGTTATGATGCATCTCAGTCGGCCTATGAAGAGGCGGGGAAGGCAAGTATACCAGATGAATGGACTGACTTTTCAGTTCACTTCAATCATGTGTTCATAATTCCTTTTCTTCCCCTCATCTTTGAGATCTGTGCAGTTAGTGCATGCTATGTCATTGTTCTCAGCTTCATTTTCACATTGGTTAACATACTTCGTAGTGATTTGTGACTCCAAGACACTTTCAGCTGAAGCCAAGTAGTGAGGTAGCCAGGAGAGTAACAATATGTGCCCACCGAGCTGATGAGGAACAAGCCACCAGCGATGCAAACGAGCACACAAAAGCGCCGAGACATGCGTTTGACTCTAAGCGGACCGTTTGCAAGACATTTCATCTTAGACCAACGTCTAGCTATCTGTATGACACTATCATTTGAATCAACCTCTGAGAAGCAGACGCGAGTTTCTGACCTGCCCAACTTGGAAAATGACAATTTCCAGTGCAAAATGAGGGAAACATGGCGTTTTCCGTACTCAACACTACCATCAGCCTCAGGTATTGACTTCCTCTTCGGACGGAACTTACCACTCAGGCTTCATGATATTGTCATGAACCACCAGCATTACCTTTTCCTTCACAAAGTGTCACGCGTCACTAACTGGTGGCTGGCGCCTGGATGCTGAACGAATACCTTCGCAGGCAGTTTCCTCCGTCTTCATTCACCGTCTCGCTAACACTGTTCACTGGAGCTTACGTTGCCTGGGCAGGAAGGATGCCATAGTGATAGATCCTGCTGAGAGCCTATAAGATCACCTGGAAACTGTTTACTCTGTTTCTCCTTCGTTCTATCTCGCGTCTTTGACTTCGTGGGTGGTATCTAGCTGATCTGACGCAACTTCATCATCGTCCTACTGATAGTCGTCCCCCCCCCGGATAACTCTGACCATGGGGCCATCCAGACGGGCCAAAGTGATTCCGAACGCCTTTGCCGGTGGCTATAGCCAGACAGTCAAGAATCGGTAGGTCTTCTGCTAGATACGCTTCAGATCGGTCTGGCTGACTATACTATAGGCTTGACAAGGTTGTCTTCCCGGATAGGTATGTCTACTACTTCACTCTATACTGCATGGGATATCATTCTGTTCTACGGCTGACGCGAGCTTAGAATCAAGTGCGGAACCTGCAAGAAGTTTCGGTACATCGGCACTTTCTCTAATAGACAGTTGGACATTCTACGCCATGCGGTAGTGGCCGATGGAGTTTCGCCTGTTACCAGCGGAATTGCCAGATGCAGACAGTGCACCGGTCCAGGCAATACTGAATTGAAATGCTCCCAGTGTGACCGTGTCAAATCGATTGAAGAGTTTGCGAAGAACCAGCGACAGGAGCGCGATACTGCGGTATGTTTCCTCGGTTTAGTTGCGGTGGAGTGCACCTGGGCTAACCTCAGGACAGCGATGCATGAACTGTGTCCAGAAGCATACGGAGACTGAACCTTTGATTGATGAAATGAAGCAGATCACCGGAGGCGATGATACTACTGCTAGCTCTGTTACTGTTGGGAATCCCCCATGATCTCTACTTCTATATCATCTATGTCTTAGTTGGGATGTACTGACAAGCTCGAAGAGTCAGGCAGGCAGTAGCTCCATGGCTGTCTCGTTCAAGCGGCTCCAGCTGACCGGTGCTCATGAGGGATCTGGTTACAGTGACGATGAGGATGACGGTGACGATTTGTCCGTTGGCGGTGGTGTCTTCCTTGAGCCTGGGCACACCGACGAGAACAGCAGCACCAACAAGGGCAAAGAGAGGGTCTTCACCGGATACGATCCTCAGGGAAACCCCCATGTACTCACTCACCGTGCGGAAGCCACCCAGTCCTACGAGAGCGAATGGTCTGTCTGGGGAGTCAAGAGCAAGGCTACTAGAAGTGAGGCCGGTCCCGCCAGAGCTACGCCGAAGAAGGAGTCCAAGTTCGCGAAGATTCCGGTAAGTGCCATCGACTTTGCATATCTAAACCCTTTGCATATCTAAACCAAGATTCGATGTTAATGACGAGTGATTCCGCGCAGCGCACCATCTATGAGAAGGGTGAACTGCCGAGCATGGCCATTCCCGACGCCAGCGGTGCGAATATTCCTTCTGACGACGAGGATGAAGAGAATGATTTGGACGGCTTTCTGTGAGCACACTCGGTATCCCAGGGCAGAACTCAGGTGTAACAGTGATTGTGATCGTACTGAGTCTGAAGTTATTGGGATTATTGAGGCGACTGGAAAGCTGTAAAAACCCATATGAATTTCTTTTATCCTCCAATTCGGGCTACTGCCTTAATTCTTCTATTCGGCTAGCCAATCTTGCTCTTCTGGGATGGTGTGACAAGTGTACTGTGACAGCCGGAAGCGATGGGTCACTGGTAGGAGGAGGCGCAATAGTGGCTGGATTTTCAATTGCGGTTCCATTGCTGTTACTATTCGGTTGTTTTATCCTTTGTAGTGCCAATTGAAGAACATGGACGGTTCCACCCTTATCAACCATGGATGAAGCGATCTTGGTTTCAACTACAAAGTAGGCCGGTTCCCGCCCAGGAACCAGAGACTGCCGACCCGCAGAGTCTACAGTAGTGGTGTCTTTATATAGCGAGTTAGGCACGCATTGTAAATGGTTGTAGAGCTTCACTACATCGAAAATTCGCCACCGATGGTCATTTTAAGAAGCCAGTTCTGTAGTTGCCATTGGCGAATGGTAGTATTGATGAAAGTCGAAGGTCACCCAAGGGGGTGGCCGAGAGAGAAGAAGCGAAGGCGAAATGATTCCATTCCGTCTCCAATTGAGATCCCCGCAGCCCGCTGGCCATGACGTAGGCGGCCATCCTGTCTTTTCTTTTCTTTCCAGCATAGACGACTCTGTCAAGTGTCAACATCTGTTTTTAGTTGTCATCTGCTTTTTTTCTTCCTTGTCTTTCGATTTTCTGTTCCTTTCTGCATCAGACACGCGACGACCCACTTAAGCTGTCAGTCTTCAGCTCTATTTTCTGTTTTGTTGCCAGACCCAGCCCACTTCGCTACACACTGAGTGTATCCCGTTGGTTTCAGCATCCGTCGCCCCTCTTCCTGCCCCGTCTTTATTTTCTACTTCTTTCCCTCTGTTCTGGTGCAGACCAGTCAGTCCGTTGCCACACGATTGTCGCACCTCTGCTTCCTGTTGCTCTGATATTTCTGTCCTTGGCTCTCCCTGTAGCCTTTTCCTGCATCAGCTCTTACCTCACTCCCAAGGCTGCTCTGGTGATTGATTACCTTGCGCTCGTGATCAGGCAGGGCAGACACCACTGACCGGCGTCGTGCGCCCCGGCACCCGGCGCGATGGCTTACAACAGCTTCCCCAACAGTCCTTCTTACTCGCAGTTTGGAAGCATGAACCATGCCAATCCAACCGAAAATGGCGCATCTTCTTACACTCCTCCGTACCCCGCACAATATGGGCCGGAGCAGGTGAATATGCCTCAGCCTCAAGTTCCTCCTACCTCCGCTTCTCCGACAGGTTACTATCCGAAGCCTCCCTACGAGCCAGCTCCATGGCAGCAACAGCAGCAGCAGCAGCAGCAGCAGCAACCACCACCACCTCCTCCCGCGAGGATCAACGAGGCTGTGAATTCGGCCTTTCGCCAGGCTGACTCTCCAGCCTATCTGTCTCCAGAGGTGGTCTCTCAGATAACTGCGACGGTGATACAACAGCTGAAAGCGACGGGGTTGGACAATTTGCAAGGTGATCAGCAACCGTCACCACCACCGCCGCCGCCGCAATGGAGTCATCCAGCTACAGCCGCCATGTATGGTGAACCGTCTCATTCACCTAGGCCGCAGAATACCCCTCCACCACCGCCTAAGATCCCACAGGGTAACCCGGAATACCAAGCACCTGTGCCGCCTGTACATCCCAGCAGTCCTCATTTATTCCCCGGACCATCCGTGGGGCAGCCGGGTGAAAGACGTGGATCGCCAACAAGCCAGAGTCAGGTCAGCGACCATCACCAGAGCATGGAGTCCCGACCAAAGCCGCCATCGAGGGAAGCTACGGTAACTGAAATGACAACGTTGGATAAAGTATGGGGCAAGTTCTTCGAGGACGGGAAGCCAACAGAAAAGCTCAGCATGCTATTGCGCGGCATCGCAGTCCACCTTGTAAGTGCAGTCCGTAACTGGTGTGTTCTAGAGGCTAACGAGATTGATGGGTAGATTGAGAATTACCCGCCGGAGAATACTCTCGTCGTGGTTCCTGAGAAGATGAAACAGTTCTATGCAGATACAAGTGTGTCGTCTGACCCATACCCTTGGGAAGGTCGGTTCTTGTGAGCCTCTGTAATGGAGCAATTGTTGCTGATCTATGACTAGACATCTTTGACGACCGTACATCCCAAATCTCGAGGTTACTGCGAAGGCTTGAAGTGGAACATCATCTCGTACAACATAAACTCCATGAGAGGCCTGACATCCCGGGCCTGACTCCTCGTGGTTTTGCCCGCTGGGCTACTTTAATGATTCAAGCCCACCCTGAGAAAGAGTACGAGCGCTTCCAGAAGGCGCTGTTGAACATGCCCATCAACAACCCCGACAACAGGAGCGAGAGACTGCCCAAGGAGTTCTCAAGGCGCTTGTTCCCTGATGCCCCAGACCTTGCATTGAGAGAAGAGATCGATCAGAAAATCATGGAATTTTGCAACGTCGACTTGCCGCCCATCACCGAGGACGAGCTGAAAAAGGTTGCCGCACAGCGTCACAAGAAGTCTGCACACAAAGCATCAGTGAGCTCCGTCGACTCAACCCCTTCAATGGGGGAGCGTGAGCGTCAGCCCTACTATAGCACATCATCTTCTGCCATTGTCGATGATGAGGATAAAGAGGTACCATCGCGGCCTATTGAACGCGAAAGGAAGCCCTACACTGCGCATCCTGGAGGCGGTAAAGTGTACGAAGATAAAGCACCCAGCCATCGCCATGCGAACTCGATGTCCGCAGGATCTGGCTCGAAAGATGGCCCGATCGAGATCGGACCCCGAATGTCGGAGACGCACCTCCACACCGGGACTTCACGTCCCACAACTACGTTCGGACGATCTCGAAGTCCGTCACGGGGGGCTCATACAGGCGGCGACTATAGGCACTCCGAAAGCGACCTGTTAGGCCATGGTAGTGGCTCTCGATATGGAGGGTTGTCGGACAATGACTACTACTACCCCTCAACTACATCTGCCCTCCCAGGAGACATCGACGACAGTCGCAAATACCACAACCTTAGCCCCGATCATGGCGATAGGCGACTATACGATGCCCTGCGGTCCCGAGACAGCGAGCGAGAAAAGATCAAGCGCAGCAGCTGGGGCGGCGACGAAGATTACTATCGCGCGGCCACCGGCTACGACTATAAACCGTATGGGTATAGGTGATATTGATATGCTGACCGTATTTGACCATTAATACTTATCGTTCTGGCGCGCTTTTTGTATGAAAAGAGATATCCGTTTATGAGTTATGACTTATGCTAGCGTTCATTATTATTCTTGGCTTCTTACGTCTTATGTTTAGCCACTGACTTTATTCCTTTTTCCTTTTTGAAAGTGTACCACGAACTTCCCTCAGTTAATGAACCTTGGCTCCTTGTCCTCCCTTCCTCTTCTGCTATAAAATGTATAATATCACTAATACCACACCTTTCGGGATCGCACACACATCATCCACCCCCATCCACCCTCTTCACCTTCCTCCCCTCAATAACCCTCATAACCCTCCCCCCTCAACCCTACAAACCTCCGCCTCCCTCTCCCTCCCCCTCTCCTCCCTCTCCCACATCTTCCAAATCCTCCTCCGATCCCTCTCCTCTCTCTCTTCTCTCCTCCTCTTCCTCCGTCTCCCCCTCTCCTCCTCCTCATCCATACCCACACCAACACCAACACCTCCATCCTCTCCTTCCACTTCCACCTCCCCTCTCAACCTCTCCACCTCCTCCCGCCCCAACCGCCACGGCACATCCAACACCTCCACCAAACACCGCGACCGCTGATCCACGAACCGCATCTCAGCGTTCGTGTCCCGCACAGGGAATATCCGCTCGAGCTGCAGCTGGTTCACGCCACGGAAGGTGGTCACCGTGCCTTTCATGTGCGCGAGCGTCCCCGGTGTATATGGGCTTATGTCCAGCGGAAGGGCGGTTGTAGGGGATATGTGTGTGTGTATTCCAGATGGTGGTGGTGGTGGTGGTATCATGGATGTGGAAATTGTAGGGATGGCTTTCTGAACCACAACGTCGAGCGTCGCACCGCTGCTATCGTCGAGCGTTAGGATCGTGAGCGTTGGTAGATCCGTTCGAGAGGTTATTAGTCCCAGGACGGAGATGTATGAAATAGGGTGGTTTTTGTGGAAGTAGGTTTTGGGATCTATATGTATAAATTTTTTGATGAGTGGGGTTAAGATGGATGGATGTAATAGGGAGGGAGATGAAGATAGATGAAGATAAGTACAACATTATTTGTGTGCTACATGCAACCGAGGCAAAGTGATAGGAGAGTAGGGGAAAACGGGGATAGGGGATAGGGGATACCTGGAAACTCCGGCCTTCTTTTCAATCTGAGTACATCCACCGCGGCCATCTTCACCCAGGTGAAGTGGGTTGGGGACGCCTTGAAACAGTACGCTGGGTAGAATTCAAGGGCGTCATGGTTTTGTGCTGTCGCCATGCCCATGGGAGGGGGGGCATTTTCATGGTTGGGGTTGGGGTTGGGTCATTAGGTTTTCGTGTGGGGAAGATAATAGAGAGATTGTGAAGATGAGGAGGAGAGATGGTGGTGTTTGTTGATTTGAGTAATGATGGGGGTGGTGAGGGGAAATGGGCAGTAGCTTTGTTATCGGTCACGTGGGTATAGGTCATGTGGTGATAAGGTACCCTGCGATGTATATTATTCTCTTAACCTATTTGGCTCAAAATACTGGTTTGACAGGTTATAAGGCAGGCTTTCTACATAACACTCAAATCCTGTATTTCTGAGCTGTTAGTTAAGATACATATTTGATAAATGAATCTGTTAATCAGTATCTGTTTATTGTACTCTGGGTACGATGATCCGGTCGATCTCAAATAGCGGAGTAGAGCTTTTAAGAGATGCGCGTCCTGAGTCTGTAAACTCACGATTCTAGTATTCCACCGGATAGCAGAGAGGTTATGGAATCTGGAAGGGTTAACTCCTAAAGCGCAATAGGACCCATAAGAGATTGATTATCTACTACTATTATAGAGTTAGCTGGATGTCCAAAGAAGATTACTCTAGCAACTAAATCATCGGGCCTACTATACTGCTGCTGGCCTGATGTAAGGAAGACTTTTAGAAGTGAGTCTCTCAAAGAAACCCATAAGGCCATCATTATTCGCAGATAGTAATACCTGCGAACCTTGGCATCCCACATACTATACTAGTACGTCTGAGAGGAAGCAGATATACCATCCGAGTTGTAAGGGTTTATCTTCATTGTGTATACAACCTGGAGCTAAATCGTTTGAGAATAATAGTAATACATGAACAGCTTTCATTGCCTTCTCCTCTTCTTTCACTAAGTATCTACTATCCTCTTTGACTGTATACAATCAGAAAATATACTAGTATTATTAGGCCCGTGGGATAGGTTTGAAGCAAATTGTGGGCCAGTCTTATCAAAGCCTCACAGAATTCTTGGTCTTTGCAACTGTCAGGAATAACCTATTGAAACAAAAATAACCCTTTCCTCACTAAGACACGATCCTCACATTTGAACCTCTCTAACCACAATGGAAAACCTACAGAGGAGTCACAATTGCTTACCTTCAGTTCGTTAGACAGATAGGGCCACACAATTTCTCCTTTTTGTGATTGAAAATATGTAACTCTGTGAAGTCGTTCAAGAAAAATGCGTGGAAAAGCCGGCACTCATCATAAACTATGAAGTTGTCAGCAAGATTAATGACAAATGCAGAAAATACTAGCGAACAAACCTGAAGTCGGTACGCTGGTAGCGCAATTGATAACGATCCAATCATCGACATCTTTCTTCTCCAGCCATTGAAATTACTGCCCGCCCTTTTGAAATCTCCTGATATGGTCATCGACTCTATCATATGCTCTCAATAGCTCTACTGCCCACTTCTTCTCAGGTATGAAAAAATCAACTCTTCCAGAATTCGTCCTGGCCCACTCAGTAGATATTGGAACCCCTCGCCCTGCCAGCTTACAAAACGACCTATAGAACTCATCTTGATACTGTGCTTCAACGAATCTCGGTTGTGCTGCAGTTGACAGGATCTTGCTGGTAGTGGAATGTTTCAAGTTCATCCTCGAAAACTCAGGTAGAATCTCCATACACAGCTGAGTCAAGTATGTGAAGCGCGTCGGCAAGGGTCTTTTGTCTCGACCAATGAGGTACTGAATCCACCTAAGGTTCTATTAGTATGAGCAACATCAGTAGTGTACAAAGATACTTACTTCTCATGCAGCCGGGATGGCAGAACAGCAATTTCATATTCTTCCAGGTTCGCTGTGAGACCCGCAAGTACCCTGTGGATCCAGCCTCTCACGTAGCAGACCTCCAACCCTGGTCTCTGCTCCCAATCAATGTGTCCTTTCTCCGCAATCTCGCAAAATATTTCATAGACTGGACTTTTAAGGTCTATTGGTCGTGGGAAAGAGCGAGCGACACCGCATTTCACCAGGAATTCAAAAGCAGAGTCCTCATTACCGTCAAGGATGTTGAGAACATGCTGCTGGGATATCACAAACGTCCTGTCATGTTTCATGTCGGTGCGATAGGTCTACTGCAATATTAGCGGTGGCGTTCAGTCTAAAACGAATATAGACACCATTAGGGAGCAAAATTCGGAGCATACCTCGCAGATGAACCGTATCATCGCCGTTACGCCTCCGGGATGCCCGTTCGTAAGCGAGAACACATATCTCTTAGCTTCCTCATCAATTGTAACAACCAGATTGGAGAATTCGTATCGAACTATACGGCAAAGGACGTCATTGAACTCTGATTCAGTATAAGAGAGGCCAATCTTCGGTGATTCACTACACAACTGGGGTGTGAGCGTTATGCGTTGTGTTTCGGGAATAGTGACTGGAGTAAAGAATTTGGAACCCTGAGGCGGCTCCAGACCCATCGATGGACTTCCATAGCAGCAGAAGAGACAAACTCGGAGTTTATATCTATCAGGCTTGTCTATCAATGACTTGATTATAAAGTTCCACAGGTAATCATCATCGTATGACATTTGCGCTTCGTCCACAATCATAACAACCTCGTTGCTCATGAGGTTTGGGATATGAACGGGTGGAAGTCGTTGCTTGAGCGCCATAGCAAGTGCCACCCAAGGCTCTGAGTCAAGTTCATCAAGATTTTGCTTCCAAGTGTGGACGAATGGGACGATGCGTCCCTGATCTTGCAAACTATCGCGAAGTAACCGCGCCAGCGTTGTTTTCCCACTGGCTGGGGTTCCTCTGACGTGGACGACGGGGTAGGCATCGATGAGCTTGATCAATTCAGCTACTGTGTGTTGCCTTGGGGAAACAGTTACATCGTCCGCTATCACCGATGAACATCGTCAGCTATGGCATGTGAAGGTAGGGATAGCATCGAACCTATTCGGCAGAGTCCGGTGTCCTTTACGTCTTCATCAATTATCACTGAAGCTACAGCTTTGAAAACTGTGGGAAGATGGGGCGGACCTTGTGGCTGGAAACCGTAGATAGATGAAGGCTTGAATGGAACAGCATCTTGATGCAATTGAAGTTGGTGATCACATAGCTTACACTCCTCGTTGGGGTCGACCATCGAACCCAAGTGGAATTCCCCTTTCTCGCACGGGCAATGAAATTTTAGCTGGCCGGTTGTAAAAACGAAGGTGCACTTGCCTGAAGCCATGATGCGAACTTGTGGGACGTTAGAAAATCTGGGACAAGCTGCAGCGCAAGTAATAGCGGATGGCACGTTTGCCAACGGCAAATCCAACGAGTTGGCGGCCATTATGGAGATCAGTGAAGAAGCCATAAAGAGAAATTAGGAAAAATAACGTTGTTTCCTTGATCCGGAACGTAGGATTCGCTTGAATCTAAACCTTCCGAGTCGCAAGAAGCAATTATCACGTCAGGCTTGGTTTGCGGTTACGCCGTTCACATACAACAGTGAATGCTTATTTCCGGCAGCACAAAAGATTGAAAAGGAAAAGACCAAGGGGGACTGAAGTCTGGTGAAAGCAGGTGAGTATATTGACATTGATCAAAGTGAAAGCATAATACAGATAATGGCACGTAATGGTTCTGAAATGGACGCTGACAGAATTGAGATAAGCTGTGACACCTTATTCATTATTGGTGCAGGGAGATGGTAGTTCTCATTCATCAATGAGCTAGGGCATTCATCAAACTACTGAGTATCGGAAAATTTTCCATTATTACCAAGCACTATGAAGCCATGCAATGCCTATGCAAGAAAGCTTCAGAGTGTAATGGCTGGTTCTACAGAATTTTCTCATATACGGGTGGAACCTTGACAGACATGACATTACTGTCCTGCCGTCAGCCTGCATTAAAAGTAGTGAAAGTATGATTATTTTTCTGCTACACTACGATTGAAATGAAGGGGCTGCAATATATAACCGGTAAAGAAATAGAGGCACTTTACCGTCGCATTTCACCAATATAAATGGATTACTTCTTTATCAAGAATGATTCTAAAGCATTCGACTGCAGGAAAGAATCTTCTTACTATAAGCTTGCAGCCGCTTCGACGGGCCCATTTTAGGGTACAGTTCCCCGTCAATTCTTGAGACTAGCAGTATTAGTAGCCGCGATATTTTATTCCCAGTCTAGTACTTGACGGCGCTTTTAACATCCAATAAAGCAATAAGCGGCCGGCCGGGGGAGGGGGCGAGTGGTGATGCCACCTTCCACTGAGTGGGCTAGAACGACCTCTGGAAGACTCGACATTTTCAGAATCTCATAAGTATAAAGTGGACTGTCAATTTATTGAGACTATGATGGATATGGATGGAACCATATCAAGAGATTTCGAACAGAAGGACAGTACTTTGAACCGCTGGAGTAGAGATCCATTGATGTTGGTGTTGATATCAAATGCGGCACCAGCGTACTGGTAGACGGAGAATGGAACTCATATGAGGAGATGAACGTCTATTATACAAACCCCAGTGGGTTGAGTCGTACGGGGTCGGTCATAGAAAGCGCAAGCATCAGGAAAATATGATGACATTCAGATAGGTTGGTGATGGACAAGGCAGGGTAGGCATACCAAGTGGGCACATACAAGCTGGACGGACAGAATGAGATGCAGCATCGTATAATGGAATGCAGTCCAACATCAATCGTTGCATACTTACCAGGAAAAGCCATTATACCCGGATGGTCTCGAACCCCAAAGTAAGCTAAACCGTGTGGGATTGATTGACACCAAGGATATCAGGCTTTTTGAAGAGTTCCAGGAACTGCCACTAATCGGATGAAAATGCAATGGGCTTCGAAAGCTAAGACAGTGAGCCAACAGTTCACTGCAAACATGGGCGTCACGCCTGCAAATGAATCTAGATCCCAGCCCAAGTCAAGGCCGCCAAAGCATAAAAGCATACGGAGAGTGACAACTTCACGTTTGTTTCTCTTTGCTGAAAAAATTCGTTTATCTTGCTGATATTTCATAGTTCATGATGAGTGCCGAACTTTCAATGCCATTCTCTAGGAACGACTAATGGACTGCTGTAGATATCTTACTTTGAAGGACAGATCTTGTATGGTGGCATCTAAAGACCTGAGATGGTTTAGATATAAATGCCTGCCAATCTTACATGATTAAAGAAGCCAAGACAAGGAGAACACAACATACTGAACGAGCTTTAGAATCAAACAAATCACATTTATGCCTGATCGTCTTGTTAGGGGAGATAGGCGGCGCCCAACTTCATTGCCCACGGCCCTAGGAACTCTATATTGCAGTTTTATTCAGAAATGAGGAACTGATGCTCCATGAGATAACATCCGCATCGTCCATGGCATCTTCTCTGATACCCTGCAAGGAGCCGAGAACACACCCGCACTACATTTATTAAATAAGAAGACATAGTACTATTTCCTACGCCAACATATATACTACCTTACACAATCAATCCAAATTTGATCCACGCCTCAAAACACCCGTGAACATACAACCACATATAGTACATCATCCATCATAATCACTCCTCCTTCCTCTCCCCACCCCCAATCACCCAATTATTCAAAATCCCCACCCCAGCATTCAAATACGTCGCCACCCCCAACCAAGCCGCATACGGCGTCATCAACCAAAAAGCCACCCGGTCATGCTTCCACCAGATATGCATCAACGCCGCCACATTCCCACTCAGAAGCAGCAGATCGGCCAATGCCCACGCCGGCTTCCGGAACATGAAGAACAGTGGCATCCAGAGATGGTTCAACGCCAGTTGAGAGATGTATAGCGTCTGCGACTTGACGGTCCAGTCTTGGACGATTGATGATGGTGATGATAGTGAAGGAGGGTATGCGCTGGCTATGGTTCCTGAGACTGTTGCGTGGTGAATGGCGAAACCCATCATGCCATACAGGACGGTCCAGACGACGGGGAAGGCCCAGGTTGGCGGGTAGAGAGGGGGCTTTTTGAGGGAGTGGTAGGTTTGTTTCGTGCGGCCTTTGCCTGGTTTGTCTCAGTATTTGTATCTCTTCAAAGGGGAGAGGTATGGGAGTGGGGGAAGCTCACGGTTGGTATGGTACCCGATTAGAGAACCTGTCGCGATAGGCGTCACGATGGATACTAGGGGGTGGGCGAACATCGCCTGAGGGAGTGCGGCGGACCAGGGCATGGTTGGTTATTTTCTTTCTTTCAGCTTGGGTTATAGAATAAAGTTGAAGGACCTGGAGTTTGAGTGTGGAGTTGCGATGTATTTATTTGTTTCGTCTGGATCGATCGATCGCGGAAGCTGGAAGTGGTCGACGTCATCCGCATCCGATCAAGGAATGTCAGTAGGATCGCGTGGTATAGATAGCCGACTGTCTACAGTGGGATGTGGATTTATATCGTGGATGAAGACTGCTCCACTGGAAACAGTATTAACTAAGCGATAAGTTGAAGGTTGATCATGCAAGTATTTTGTTGATTTCAGTGCTTGTTAAATCACTCGCTTTTTCCCCGCAGTTGGTGAACCACGGCGTGTGGAGAAGCTTATCACATGCAGGAGATGATATAGGGCATGTTCTACATTTGATTGAAAGATGAATGAAGATCTGTGGAGCCCTGCTCTTGTGAGAAATAAGGAGTAGTCTATGTCTACTATCTCTTCAAGAAGGAGTCTGGCAAAGTAGTGAGCCTTGCATATTGATTCCGCAGCGCTTGGCTCTGTAGCGGTTGATGAGCAGATCACACATGCGACGTTTGCGATCTGCGTCCGTGGGCTTGTGTAGGTGCTTTCTAGGAAGCTTGCTGATGCTTTGTAAGTGCAGCGAATATAGCAGAAGTATCTTAGTGATTTTTGACTCTTGTAGTGTTCAATCAATGACATAGCAACGCGCCCTGCGGCTCTATGTGAACCATCATGCACCTGCAATGTCTTGATAATGTTCAAGCTCATGCTATATGGAGACGGGAACTATTTCTCTGAAATATCAGTATTGTTTCTTCACTGCGGCATAGTAGTTGAAATCATTTAAGCGCCTGCTGGAAGATGTGCAGCCAAATAGGGCTTGCGTCAGATGAATGCAGTAGAGTATATCAGACTAACAAACATTGCTATGACAAAGCACATGACTAGACCTGTCCAAACAGATAATACATGAGAAGAGAACAAAGGCTAATATACAATGCTTGACGATGTCGATGTAATGCCTCTAACTATAAAGGCTTTCCAGCCACGCTCTCACCAAATCCCCAACCACTTCTTAACAGGCCGCTTGTTACCCTCCCAATCAACATACACATTCTTATCATCCTCACTCTGCTGCTCCTTAGCCACAGGAGACTGGTCATCCACAGCCACCTCCCCCTTTCCATCAGCACCAGCAACATCCTTCTCATTAGGCTCCTCCAACCCATGAGCAACCCGATACTGCCGTCTCTTCTCAGCATCGTCCACCCGTCTGCGACGCTTCTCCCTCGTCTCGATCGAGTTGTGCTGCACATGCATGCGGAACACCGAAATGGCCTGCCGAACCGTATCAATGGGGTGCGACAGCAGCGCCGACCACGGCGGCAGCAAATGAGCGAACGGTGACGAGTGCTTGAAGTTCGTGGTAAATGTGAAAGTAGCCAAGGAGGTCAGTACACCCTACACAGATCACATTGGACGTTAGTAAACCCATACCACTCGTATATCATTTTGCAATCGAACAAATACACAAGGAGGGATGTGGATGTCTCACCATCGCAATCCAAATATGAATCCACCGATTCGTCAAGAACTTGTGCATGACGGTCCCCTCAGGCGGGAACATGTTTGGGTACTGCCTGTGCTTCTGCTCTTCCTTTTCCTTCTCGCTGAGCTTCGGCCCCGGGTAGTTGATCGGGCCGCTGCTGACAACCTTCCCATTGCGGGTTTGGACGACCCGGCGCGCGGGGTGAGATGGAGGACGGAACTTGTCGGGCTTGGACAGCACGCGGGGTTTGCTGTCATCGGAGGCGCATCGCTGGGTGGTGCTGCTGGTGATGCGGTAGGTGGTTCGCCGGCTCAAGGCGCGGAGGCTGAGCGGGGAGGGAGCGCCCCGGGGGAGGAGGAATTGGGGGATTGTGACGGGCGGCATTGTGTATAGAGAAAGAGAGGTGGAGGCTGACTGGTGAGGTGCACCGCAGATGAGAGCTAGAGTTGGCTGCTGGGAAATGCCTGGCCTGTTGGTGTTGCGGCGCGGGTATTTTTTTCCTGGCGCTGCGGAGGATATACGGATCACGTGATTATGATTTCGTTGAGTCTACGCTGTGCTACTGCTGGAGATTGGATAAGAATTACTGTGAAAGATACCAAACACATATGTTGTGTATCTGTTAAGTGCATAGATACTCATGAACTCTTTCTATGTGCATGTGCATGTGCTTGCAATAAACCAAGTACGCGGTTCCTGGTGCCTGTTGAGGCTGTTGTTCCCTCTGCCTCAGGCCACCTCGGGATTGTCCCCGGCGGAGCGGAACAACACGAATTCCCATGACAAGTCGGCCAAACTCGGAGGACAAATGATGGCGCGCGGATTTCCAACACCAGGGCTTTGCGGGACCAGAAACAGTTCAATTGCGGTGGCCCAACTCCGTATCTTCTCCGGGTCTTCTCCGTAGTTACCGCCCTATATTTGTGTGTGTTACGTAGGGAACTGGGCCACCATGACGGAGGCACAAATATGGCAAGTATGAACAGAGGATGAGATCATTCGGAAGCGCTACGTCAGTCGCCGGCAGAAAAGCCGCTATATGCTCGGAAGGGATTCAGCGAGTATCATCTCCTATTGTAGAGTAGTGTAGGAACTCCAAAGAAAAAAAAAGCATGGAGTCTCAAGCCTGGCATGCACAGGGGTCAATTGACCAGAACTCGGTCAGATCGATCTGGGTAAATGGAGACAATTCTTGGAAAACATGGAGCATGGCTCAAAAAAGACACCGGCATCTTGTCCCGGAAGCGCCCGTTGTGCTGAATCATCTCATCCCTGATTGGCCGCAACCCGGATCACGGGAGGCGTTGGGGGCAAAGGCTGGCCGCTCTTGTACAAATTGATCGCAAGTTTTTCTTCCCTCGTCCGATTTCTCTCCTCCATCGCTTCTATTTTCCCCAGGATATCCTCCGCAAGACCAATTCCTTTGTATATTACTCTTACACCTTTTAATACCCTTTAAATCCCTTCACACACATTCAAAATGGGCAAGGACGCTTCTTTCGCTCCCGGTAAGCTGACGCAGTTTTCCTTGTTTTGGCCGCTCCTTGTCTTCTTCGGAGGCTCTTCATTCACTGGTGCTTTCAAACACTGCATTCACCCAATGCCGTGATGGTTTCCCGCTTTATGATGGCTGTTGCTGGCGCTCGAAACTTCTGCCTGCTGTGACTCGATCCATCGCGTTTGCTGTCGCGTTTGCTCTACGTTTTCGCAAACCGCAGGCTTTTACTCTTTAAACAACGATACGTCGGAAGACAAAAGTCGAATCACAATCACAGCCTAAGTCGAGCGTCACATCTGTCATCATGAGCTGGGATGCCTTTGTTCTACCTTGCTGGATCCAACGTCGCGAGGAAATGGCAGAAAGGGAGAAGAGAGAGGCCGAGGCGGCAGAGAAAGCCAAACAACAGCTCGCTAATATCGACTTCGATTCAGGTGACTCCGCCAAGGGTGCCAAGCTCTTCCAGGTGAGTTGTGATCGCTCTGCGTCGCAAGATGACATTTGCTCGGACAGGACAGTTTATTAACATCGCATCCAGACTCGTTGCGCTCAGTGCCACACCGTTGAGGCCAACGGTGGCCACAAGGTCGGCCCCAACTTGCACGGTCTCTTCGGCCGTAAGACCGGTTCTTCCGAGGGCTACGCCTACACCGACGCCAACAAGCAGGCTGGTGTCACCTGGGATGAGAACACTCTGGTATGCTCCGCTCACCATATCGCACATTGTATAGAAGAATTGTGGCTAATGTTGTCTGCAGTTCTCCTACCTTGAGAACCCCAAGAAGTTCATCCCCGGTACCAAGATGGCCTTCGGTGGTCTCAAGAAGGGCAAGGAGAGGAACGACCTCATCACGTATGTGCCATCCCGAACGATCCGAAACGGCGAATTGCAGAGCGCTGACAATTGTACCTTTCCACAGTTACCTCAAGGAGAGCACCGCTTAAATCACCTCACCGTCATGAACCTTTCTAGAACCCGCCTGCCGAACATTGCCCGCTTATCCGCGCTGGAAACAGGCGGTGAGTCGGCAACCCGACAGTCAGGGACTGTAACATTACCACGCCCTTGTTTACCCGCGATAGACCTTTGGCGTTGCTGCGTTGGAACGATACAGATACAATAGAGTCCTGTTTCCTTCCGCGAGCGCTGTCTACATATTCCCTTCTTGTTCTCGTTTTTTACCCTCCGTCTCCTATGTGTCCTCTACGAATGTGTTTCCTTCGAGCTCTTGTGTGTATCATGGTTTTAAAAAAACAATTTGGTTGCTTGAGACCATAATGAATTGAAGAGATCTCCTCTCACATGACAACAAACAAAACAATAGGCTTTTACACAGTATCAGTATTGCTTAAGTTGATTGCTTAGACTACCTAACCAGGCCGCTTCCCTTTTCTGCCTGACGGACCGATGGCCGTGCGCTGGACCCCCGTCCCGAGTTTCAGATGTATCACGTGCAGCCCATGCTGGCCGGGGATTCGTCCTGCGCGACTCCGCGACCACGTATGTGCTGCAGAGAGGAGGGGACCGAGAAGGGGACCCCTCGGGGGGTGGAAGTGAGTAACTCTACTACTAGTATCTACCTACGAGTCAGCGAGGAAAACAACGGTGGCCAACTGCACCGGCAATCTGGCGGATGATCCTTGCAGGGCCGTGGAGGGCAGCTCAGGATGGTCATTGGGCCCGGCCGTTGGGCCAGTTGTCAGCCAGCCATTGATAGGTAGGTTCATGGTCCCGAGAAGGTACCGTTCCTCTAGTAAAATGACCTTAGAGCCAACCAGGTAGCTGCTCGATCGGAAGGGTAAATACTACCGTCCTGAAGGAGGGGTGCAGAGAGGAGGGGGAAGAGAAAGAAACCAGTTCTCCCATGGGGGACTTGAACTCGAACTGAAGTGAACTTCTATCGGGCTTGATTGCGAACTACGGAAGCGACCGGTACGGTGTTAGGTAGGTTCGAGGAACCTTTTCGTTGGGTGGTCATGTGGTCATGACTTAGGATGGATGGATGGGATGGATGGATGGATGCGAGTCACGCCGATATGGTAGTTGTCGAATGGTAGGTTATCTTGGTGGGCTTATAGTTTATCTAGCGGGGTGGGAAGAGAACTGCAGATAACTATCGATAAAAAGGTGCAGGGAACTGCAGTATGTCTATCTGTTGAGACTACGTGAGTCGTGAGGAATTTGTTCCGAAATAAAGATGAGATGAGATGTCTCAATAACTTTGAGGAGTAGGTAGATAGTGGCCGGGGGTTAAAGTCGATCTGGTGAGATGCGATGAGATGCGATCCAACGCGACGTACTTTGTACGTAGGCAGTCACCCAGGTTGCTTGATATCGTCAGGAGAAGGGATCGGTCTGTCGGTCAGGTCCTAGTCTGTCTGATGAAACGCAGTCATTGTGGAGTTCAGTTTGAACCCTGCGAAAGCGAAAAAGTACAAGGCAGAATGTAGTCTAGTTCGGTCAGTAGTAGAGTAACTAAGTGTTTATGCGCGAGTGAGCCTAAGCATCAGCATCGGTGTTTCTGGAGGGGTGCCGATGGGCCCGATAAAGATAGATGGATACCACCAGGAGGCTTTTTTTCCTTTCTCTTCCCTCCACCAGATGGTATGTTCCTAATTTTCCACAGGAACGAGATCCATGAACCAAGGCACGTTCCCTATTTTTACGAGGACAATTCTTTTGAAGAAATATAGGAATGTTGCGACGGGAGGTTAAAGAGTAAAAAAGGACATTGTCGACTGGGAGCGACCGGGACAGAGGAAAGTCTAGACAGAGAGGACAGACAGACTGGAGGCTACGATGGGCCTGTAGGGATGAGCATCCCATGATCCCACCTGACCCGTGGCGCAGCGATGCTGATTGGACCAGCCACCTAGCGGGGCCCCTCCATGGGTCGCTCTTTCCTTTTGATTGAAATAAAAACCCCAGCCGTGGAAGGCATGCGAGGGGCGGGCCGGTATTATCCTGTACCTTCTTGTACTTCCTGTACCTGAAGACTCTCATCTATTACCATCTATCTCCCATCAAATACATCAATCCATTCATATATAAACTACCACCCGTATTATCATTATTGTCTCATCCCTACTTTCTAAACTAACGGCGCAAAACAGCTGCTCCAATAAATCTCCTTGCCCCCTTCGAGGTGACCCCTCGTGTGGGTGTCCTCTGCAAGCGCCTCTTGTAACCCGTCGTGACTTGTCGCATTCCCGTTAGTCCGCTGGTCAATTCATGACATACAGACAGTCCAGGCAGACAGACAGCCAGCCAGACAGACAGAAGAGTGCAAGCAAGAAAGAAAACTGGTTTAGCCAAACAGATCATCTCTTCTCTTCTGCATTCTGACTGATTCGACGGACTGGACCATCTTTCATCTTGCTCTATCTACCTCCCCACTTCTCCCCCAGTTCTGTTTCGTCGGGCCGGCCTGATCGCTCGCCGTTGCTGGCCATTCCTCAGGCACTCAGGCTTTCCCCCCCGGGTTCTCGTCCCGCGTATCTTCTACTACTACATTACTACCCTCCCACCATCATTCAACCTTCCCATGTCTTGCTCTCCCTCCTCCCTGCTCTCTCTTGGATTCACTCGCAGGGACATCTATAACCATATACGCTGTAATCTTGACCCCTTTTTCTACCCTTCACCCCTGTCATCATCTATTCCTTCCCCTTCTCTCCCTTGGCGCATAGCTTCTATTCTCCCTTCCTTAACCGGATCTTAGCGCGCCCGCAACTAACACTCTTTCTTCTATCACCTTGATAGCACCCACCCTCTGAAGTTATTGTCTATTGCTGCGCAAGTCGTTCACGACGTCGCAGCGATCGAAAGTGGCCTTGACTTCTTTGGTGTTGCAGTGCGCAACGCCGTCTATCATGCTAGACGAGCTAGAAAGCGCCTTCGACGAACATCCTTCATTGGATGCGTCGCTCGAGGACTTTGAGAGCAATAGTAACGCTCGTCAATCCCCCGTTTTCGGTCTGCCTTCCCAGCATTCGGGCTTCCGCTCTGAGGAATCGGATGGGGAGGATGACGACCTCACGCCTAACGGAGATCGCTGGTCGCCTCCGGGCTTACGCAGGTATGATTATGTACAAGGAAGTGGTTGGTATCGCCATCAGCCCTACGTGCGCAATCCCGATTACGACCGTTTCTGCCTCAAGCCCTCGGTCGGACTGAGCCCGTCGCAATCGCGCGAGCCTAGTCCGCAGTATGAGGATGCGCTGGAGGCGCCGACCGCAGGGAAACGCAGTCAGTCCGCAGAGACAGCTGACATCACCATAGCCGCCAATGTCCCCTTGCCAGCCGACGCAGAGACCCCAGAAAAAGGTCGCTCGCCGAGCCCGGGACCCAAAGGTGCAAGAGCTAGCCCGGATGGCGAGGGTCTGGACTTTGGGTCGGGGAATAACCTCAGCAATTGTAGGCTTCACCTTGGTTTGCTACCCTTTGCAGCTTCCTGGCCGGAATGAACTAATTCATGACGCCTCAAAGATATCCGGTTCGCTGTGCGCGCGGAAGTTCAGCACCGTGAGCCCTTTGTCGCATTCTTTAGTTACTTGCGGTCCAAACTCGATAAGATCACTAGCTCCAAATCCAACGCAATTCTTTCTGTAATCGTTGCTTTCATATCGATCGCGTTCATGCGCGCCTTATTCCTTCCCAGCGTTCCCGAAGCGATACCCGATCTGGTCAAGCTGTCAGGGTTTGCGCGCTCGTTCGAGCCCCTCATCTATTATTCGGAGAATGGCGCGCATCAAATAACCGCCTTGCAGGAGACTGGGGTGGCTGTTTGGGACCTCGGAGAATCGGTGCGCGGGACCAATATGACCAGCGCGCCGATCATTGTCCGCCAACTGGATGAACTCTCCGAGTCCCTCAAGTCGCTCTCTCTGGAGCTGGCACGCTTCTTCTCCGACGTTGAGGGGGACATTGACTCCATCTTGCTCGCCATGGATTGGGCCAAGCGTGAACTAGAGGCCTTATCGTCGCAACCGCCTAGTACGTTGCCGTCGGTCGTTTTCGATAACCTCCACGGGATCTTTGCGCGACTGGGGGCGCTGGAGCGACTTAGCGCCGCGAGTGGGGAAGGGTCTAGCACTGAATTGACCAGCACCCCAACCACCTTTGGCAACTTCGTCACCGCGGTCTTCGGCCAAACCTCTGCCCAGCGTACCCGCACAACCCTCACTCGGACCTTTACCGAAATGCTCTCCGTACTAGAAGAGGCGATCAACAACGAGCTGACGCACTCAACGGCGCTGTTCGCGCTCTTTGAAGCGATCGACCGCCAATTTTTGAATCTTCAACGGACTGTAGTCCGCGAGTCGGATGTACAAGAACGCGAAGAGGGCGAGATGCTGGAGTCGCTGTGGACTAGGCTTATGGGAGCCAATGCTGCTGCGATTCGCAAATACGAAAAGAACAAGCGGCTGCTCGCCAATGTCCGTAGTCGCACTGTCACTAACAAGCACCTCTTGGTGGACCACCGCGGCCGTCTACTAACCCTCAAGGTCAATCTGGAAACCCTGCGGCGCAAACTTGTCAGTCCGCTAGTTCGACGCAACGACTCGATGAGCTTCACGGGCATCGAGTCCAGTAGTCGTAGCAACGGTCGCATGCTGGGCCATGTTGAGGCTGTGATTGACGGACAAATCCGAGGACTCGAAGGCAGCTATGATTACCTCAAATCTGTGCGTGACAAACAAAAAGCCAAGACTCTGGAGTTTTACTACGGGTTCGGGCGTCGCTTGCCGCAGAACCCAGTATTAGCCGACGGGTCGGACGATCTGGGGACGGACGCGATTGACGGGGTGTGATGCAACAGCGTCGAGAGATCTTGCATGCATAGGCAGGCGTTCCTTGTCTTTCTGCTCCTTCTTTTGTCTCTGTACCTGCATCACGTGGACATGGCGTTGTCGATCTGATCCAGTCGGAAATATTCGGTCTTGTGTGCTGTGCACATGGTGGGCGTTCATCTACAGGTCCCCTTTCTTCGGTTACTTACATCTCGCTTCTCTCTCCTCGCATCGCTCTGGCTAGCTGGCGTACACTGGTGTCCATTGCGCTACAGTTTTTCCATTGGTTCTGGCCAGCCCTATCTTCTGTCTTCTCTCGCCTCACCTCATCTCCAACTTCATCTCCCTCTACCTCAGTGACACGACTTTTAGGGCCTTTTTCATGTTGTTTGGCATCATGTCCAAAAGCGGGAAGGGAAAATCATAGACAAGATTTGAACTGATTCATTGCAATCTACCTGCTGCAACCTCGCATCTCGCGACATGTCTTGTCTTTTTTCCCCCTCCATTTGCTGCCATCCATACACCCATTCCTTGTTTCTCATCTCTTCTCCCCTCTCATCCCCCGAAATTCATAGGCTGGCCGGCCGGCTGGTGTGGTTGCCTGCTTACTTGCTTCATCATCATCATCGTCATCATCATCTACTGTGGCGCACGTGGTCTTCGGTTTTTCGCTTGGTTTCCCTCAATTCGGTTTTCTCCTGTCAATAGTTGGTGGACGGAGTGTGCTCGGTTATGGGTACATGGTTGGTTGGTTGGTTATGGTATCTTTGATCGGTAGTACATGGTGTTGTAGTGTGGTTGGTCGTTATCTAACATCTATCATATCTACCTGTCTTTTTCTTTGAATCTACTTCACTACTCTTCCTACCTACTACTCCTTTTGTGTATCGATGGGATCTTACCTTCGTATCATCATAGTATATATACGAGCTTACTACTGGCTGTTCCTCATTATTACTAGCATATAGATCCATCATGCAGCTTCGTCTGTAGGTATCAATGTGATTTAAGTGAAGTAGTGATAATCTTGCTAGTATTGAGGTAATCATGTATCCCGATTTTTAGCAACAGCCATTGGATACGTTGTAAATAGCAAAATAGTAATAATAACCATAATAACGGAGGAAATGAATTCTAATATCACAGGAGTAGCCAAGGTTTTGACTAGGTAGGCATGAGGCAAAGCGTAGCGTAGCATAGCGTAGCGTAGCACAGAATAGTGAATAGTGAATGCAGTGCAGCAGGTAGTTTGAAAACCCAGACATGAAAGAAAAGAAGCAAAGATGGGAAGTAATAGATAAGTATGTGTTAATATAATATGTGAATTGAATCAAGCAAAGCAAGCAAGTAAGTAAGTAGGTAATTCCTCACGCCTGGCCGCAAATCAAGTAGAAATGAAACTCCCCCAAACTCCATCCGGATGCTAACTGATAGATCGATCGAAGTATGGTCTTGGTAGCAAGTAGTTATGGTAAGTAGGTTTTTTTGGTTTCTTGGGTGACTTCATGCGAGTCTGCGTGATGGGTTTTGGGTGCCATAGTCGCTGTCACTGCTACGGTCATGGTCATGTTCGTCACTGGTATGGCGTGAGCATGAGCCTGAGCCTGAGCATGTGACTTGACTCGGTTTGGTTTTTTGTATTCCCCCGGTTTTTTCATGGTGATTTTTGAAATGGGTGAACAAGGCAGAAGCGTACTTCTTCCCTCATCATGTGATGAAAGGTATGATTCCACCTTAAAATCCATATCCACCCCCATACGGCGTGACTCCATACGGCGTCGTAGCACTAGGACCCCATGCACTAGCGCCACCACCGTTCGCATACGCCGTGAAGCCACCATCCATACCCTCCGGGGGCTCGTAGGCATCCGGACTGCGCACACCCATCATATCCTCGTCGTCGCCGCCCATGACGCCATTGCGGTCTGCGCCTTCGGTGCCTGATAACGAGGAGATCACGGAGGCGAGTTTCCGTTGCAACACTGTGATTCCTTGCTGGATGATCATGTCCGGCTCTAGGGTGCCGATGCTCTCTACGTCGATGTAGAAGCTGTTGGGCTGGGCGTCGTAGTCGAATGGTTGGTCTGGGGGAACGGGCTGTTCCCATCCTGCGTTTGCTGAGACGGGCCTGTATTGATGTCACTGTTAGCATTTGATCTTCGCTTGCTCATGTAAATTCCTGCAGTAGGTGATACAGAAAGGTGCTGGAGAACAAAGACTGAAGATGAAGGTTGGGATAAAACATACCATTCCTTCGCCGGATCCTCCTCATACCAGTAATCCACATGTCTCAAATTATTATGCGGATCGTATTCAAACCCAATTGCCGATGTAGGCATCCACTTCGCATGTTCCTTCGCAATGCCCTTCTTCGCAATACACGTCATCTTCAACTCCTGGCCGCGTCTCAATTTACAAATCAAGGGTCCGTTTCCCTCAGGATCCAAAATCACCGGGTTTCCCACCCACTCGTTCGCCCGTTCTCCTGACACCACGAGATCGCGCGCATATACCCGCATGATATCGTCGCCGGTGCACCGCGCATGCAGCGACAGGGTTACAGAGCAGCGCGCGCAGTGGTCCTCGCATTCGCAATCGCGCGTGTACTCGACATCTTGGTCGCAATTTTTGCTGATCAGGGGGATAAGGCCTAGACGGTGGGCGAGGAATTCGTCGGGCAATACGGAGGTGTTCTTTTCCACTTCAACGAGATCGATGGCCATCGTGGGGATTTCGGCGAGCATTACTCGGCGGAGGGAGTTGGCGAAGGCGAGGTCGACGGAGGTGAGTTTGAAGTCAACGCGGGTGGGTTCAGCCTGGCAAATTTATGAGTATTAGTAGGGATGGTTGGACAGGTTGGATGGGGTGGTTGTGTCGTATGGGCTGGTGTTGGTATAGATGGTGGATAGGCAGATTGGTAAGAGGTGAACTCACTTCGCGGACGGTGACTTGGGGCCCGGTGGGCTCAATATCCATCTCGTAGTCCATGGTGGGTGCGGTTAGTAGCGCAGAGGCGCTACCTATCGAGTGGAGGGATGGTTGTGGTGGTGAAAGATGGAGCAGCGAGGAGAGGACTGATGCTGGAGGGAATGATGAATGGTGAAGGAGCTGAGGTCAAGTTCGTCGCCGACCTGCAGCCCGCGCTTTGCCTATTTGGGTAATGCGTCTGCTGCGGCGTTTGCCGCAGATCAAAATTCTGAGGTCAGTTCAAACTTCAAAGACTGATTAAAATTTAGTGTTAATTAGATATGGGTTTAATTGTCTTCAGATCTACAGGTCTACGCTCTCTACAGGCTTACTTTTAAGTTACACACTGAGCAGACAGCCAGCCCCTATGGTCTTCTGTTGCCTCGCAAAATGAGGAGTATGCTTGCTTTCTTCCTTTGCAGGTCAGATTCCTAGCTTGCATGAGCAAAAGGCAGTTCATCCCCAGCACCAACGGAGGCACCTGTCGACAGCTCTCGAGCCAGATTAGCTGGCGGGCCATAGTCAACCAGCAAGTCGTCGCAAGGGTATATCAAGTCGAAGAAGTATAAAGAAAAAAAAAAGAAATGACCCCTTCCAAAAGCAGATGCCCGCTCCAACCGTAGGATGCGATCCCAAAGCATGTCATGCTGACCCCATCAACTTTTGCTCCATCCGTCGGCTGTACCGCCGCCAGACCGTACTCCTCTAACATTCTATGCTGACGCTCCGTCATGGATTCTATAGTGGTAAGTGCGCCTCACGCGCGAAAGCCGTCGGGCTGCCCAAATAGCCCGAAGAAGACATTAAAACCAAAAGCAGTATAGCCAACCAGAGGCAGAAACCCAGGCAAATGAATCGAAGCAAGAAATGTAAAATCGAGAGTAGCTTTTCTTTTCGGTTTCAAGAATCATGTCAAGTCATCATGGAGCTCTAGCCCACAGGCAAGTCTCCATCATTTCAATTTCCTTGCCCTTTTGAGCGAGGGAAGAGAAATGATACGCCATCGCTACCTCCGCAGGGAGCTGCGATTCAGCGCTTCCAGAAGCTCGGGACGACTGGCAAGCGATTCGGCCGCTTGCGCATAGGTGACCCATTGACGCTTCCGCTTGTGCATCTCGGGCCACTGGTCCTCTTCCCGGTCCACTGTGACCTCGAAGAACTGGTATGATGCTTTCGGTGCCGAGGACGTTAATAACGTCGACGGGCGCATGTCCGGGATCAATCCCAGGTCTTTGTGCACCGTACATATTATTCCACCCTCTTCCCAGGCTTCTCTACAGGCAGCCTGTTGGGCGCTTACTTCATCGGTCTCCCAACCGCCTTTAGGAAGCACCCAACCGCCTCGCCCCGCGGACTGAATCATGAGCACCTTCGTCTTGTCCGCGGACAATGGAACCACGCCGGCCACAAGTCGTTCACCTTTCGGTCCGTACCCTATACACAACGCGAGTCAGCCACGTTGCGCGACAAATAGTATTGCGTCATATTGAAAGTTGCTGTACGTGCAGAAACCGGCGAAAACGGTATTATAGAATGAATTCAAAAGGCTACAAGCCCAGGGATGTTACTCACGTTGGTTTTTGCGTCCCACACGGGACTCCATTGAGCGAGGATGATCCGCCATTTTGAACATTGGGAATCAAGATAACCAAAAAAAAAAAGAAAAAGAAAAAGAAAGGATAGAAAATAAAAAAATAAGAAAACACGAGGGAAAAGTCTATAACGCGGTCTATATAGCAAGAATTCGAAAACCAGTGCGACACAGCCAAGCTGTGCTTCACGCGACACAGGTATGAAAGGAATGGAGATATTCAAGGTGGAGGAAAAAGGTCAATGACACCGATTCCAAGACACGACCGGTGTGACGACACTGTCGGTACTAAGGGAGGCGTGAAATGTCCAACGACGGAAAATTGAGACAAGAAGAAGGCCCGGCCTTGTGGATGAGGAGCTGGCCGGTGAACCGTGAGTTCCTGTCTTGTTCCCGAAGCGAAAATGGGCCAGGCGGTCGAAGTAGGCCAGGGAATTTTTTGGGGAGGGTAAAAAAATAAGAGTTAAGACTGGAGGGAAGTTTCAGGAACTAGGTATCCCCGTTCACTCCCGCGGCGGACGGGAACCTGAAAGGAGAGGTGTGAAGGTAAAAGAACATCATAATCGGAGGGATACCAGGAAAAATAAGGGAACGGATAGGGAGGAAGAGAGGGACGGAGGGAGGGGGGGGGAGGCGAGAGGACGGAGGGGGGGGAAATCAGAGACAGCTTTGGGGATAGTAATGGGCGGCGCGATCCGGCCAGGAAGGTCGCTCGCTCTCTCTCTCTCTCGCCCGGAGCGGACTTTGCGCGCTCTTCTCTCTCTCTCTCTCTCTCTCTCTCTCTCTCTCTACTTTTCGCTGGACGGTACCGTCTGGGTACAACCCCAATACTGTATCGCCGGTCTCCCCGTCCGTCTGTCCGGGCAGCTTTCCACTGCTATTCCACTGCGTTCTGCCATCAACCCGACGCGGTGGGTTCCCGTAATACTGGTTCCATACGGGTTCTTTCGGTTCTTCTGCTAGGTACCAGTTACCTTACTGGTACAGGTACCGCCGCTACTCAACTTACTTACTTTTGCCCCCCCAAGTCAGCCTATGCGACTTGCTCTTTTGAACGCTTACTATAATGTCATCATTCTAATCGTTGGGATCTTTTTTTTCCGGTGGTACTATTGTTCGGTTTCCAGGGGTCCTCTGCTTGCTCATACCCTCTCACCTAAACTGATCCTTTTTCCTTACCATTGTCTACTCTCTATGGTACTCTAAAGTAAAATTAGAAATCCCCAGTCATACGTAGCTTTGTGGAGTGTGTCCGAGGGCAATCCATGAACTAGACTACTTTGCACTATATGGGCCATCCCACCGGACATGCTGATACCTACCTCCCAATCGTAATTCTGGCGGTTCCTCTGGGTCGATTTGGCTCCTCTCTTCGGTGGTTCACGCGTCCGCGAGTCACGGACTAGGTCTGTTGCCCTCCCCATGAACTCCTCCTGAGTCTCCCGAAGGTCTGCGGACTCCTCGGAGGTTCCACAGCAAACCGGCTGGACCAAGGGAGCAGGAGTCCTCTTTCCACACCCACACACATGCACACACAAAACGGGAATTAATTTTTGCTTGGGACAGCAGCAGCTTAGAGGGTTACTGCAGCTTCTCCGTTGTCCCCTAACTCCCATCTCGGTCGACTCGGTACTTACGGCTTTGCAGTCCATCTCATCTCCCAGCAACCAAACGCTGTGCCCGCTCATCAATTATACTTAAGGCCCTATGGCACTATCAGAATTAGGGGCCCAGACTAGTGGAACAGACAGTTTCCCTTCGTCTCATATTACTGCTACTATTAGCATGGACCAAATGAGAAAAATAATCTATCTTACTTTTTAGGTCTTGTCTCCATCAGTCTAGTCTACTTTTTTATGTTTCTCCTTTCGAAGGAAGCAAACCGGGCCCTTGTGCTCTCCGCCGTAAGCGCTGGTGTGTTCGAAATGACGAGGGATTCAGCGTAGATATTGTGGTTATGGTTATCGATAGAGGAACACTATAGTCAATCCATCTAGTCAATCCATCTAGTCAATCCATCTAGTCAATCCATCATCCTCTCACACCGGTCCCTGATGGCTTATTGCCAACCCACCCCTTTTTCTCTCGGGGTTTAAACACACCATTACTTAATATTTTCTTTAGATGGCTATATTTAATATCATTCCTACTACTGCCCCTTTTTTTTTTCTGATATAGCCTACATATTGATTTTGTCCGGATCAAAACGAACTCACGGTGAAGAACATGAGCAAAAACCGAAGACAACCCGGAATCGGTCCACCTCGTTTACCAACTCTGGATGCGGTATTCCGTGCGACGGCTGTGCCTACTCCTTTCTGATTACTTATTTGCTGTGTAATACGTACTAAATCTGTCTCCTCAATGTGGAACAGCCTGCGACTCGTTGGTTTCCCTCTCTCGGTTCCAATTATCCACCAGCCGATCTACGTATCTACTATGTGCGATACTTAATTCGTCTGACTGGGCATATACCACATAGTTAAGAGTAAGTAGTGGTAGTAGTATCATGCAGAGTAGAATATCTGCATGTAGCGCATCGATGTCTGCACCCCTTTTCAACGAATGATATCTGAATCAACTACCACATGCGACCCGGCAGTACCTTGCTACGTGTTGAGCTATTTCCGATGGGGACGATTTTGGAGCTTCAAGCTGCATCGACAAGTGGTCATCGAATGATCCATCTACGCTATACATTTGCGTTTCATCCAACTCTTGATGAATTTTACCTGTTTTTTTATGTTATCATTTTTTTTTTCTTCCTCCTCCTCCTCTTCTTCTTCTTCTAGTGTTGTCCCCTTCCTTTTATTTTCCCCGTACTTCCTGCGTGCAAGCTACGGATTGGATACCATATCATGCGACGGCATGCCCTGCATACATTAGGCGCCTCGGATCCTGGCGGGCTCATTGGAGGAGAGCACACCGATGTCACCGACCTCACCCAGTGAAGAGAAAGAGGAAATCAGTGACTACTAACAGTTCTAACACAATAGAGAAGGGGGGGGGAAAAAGGTTGACTTTGGGAACGGATGCGGGGCAGCAGCAACCACTCGGCCGGCCACCAAATCCTCGAATGATCGGAAGGGTGACTTCTCTGGGTTTTCCTAATTGTTTCTACTATCTACATTCTGTGACCTCTTTGTCGAACAAGGGATGATGTGGATGCGACAGCCCAACTATGAAGGCAAAAGGCATCCAGACCGACCTGCGCGTTCGTGATGATGTATGCGGGCCAGGGCCTACCTACATGGTACTTGCTTTACTCACACAGCGTACCTTGCCCACCGCCGAGGAACCATGGAGGGGGGAGGAAAGGTGTGTGGTCGATCAGAGCGTTGAAGTTGCTCGGACGATGCGGTGACTAACTGCAAAGGAATGGAACTACTGAGGTAACCTGCACAGGAAAGACTAATAGTGGCTCGAGAAAGTTCCCGGTGGCGATTGGATCTGGACGCGACAACGCAGCAGCGATCTGTCGAGGTGCGGATCCTTGAGATCCTAGCATCGACAAGCCGTGATGATGCCGATGATGCTTGGACGTTGGGGGGGAAAGGGTTCCTGCACGTGATGTCATGGTCCGGAGGAGACTTTTTTTTAGGTGAGGGTTTTTGCCTCCTGGTCATCGCCGATGCTAGGAGAATTCTGATTTGGACGAAATTCCAGGATCGATCAGCAGCACACTCACTTCCGTGTGCCACATTCCAGTAACTCTTAGCATCCACGACATGGCAAGATTTTGTCGCCAGAAGGTTGACACTTGGCCAATTTCCGCTTCGATCGAAGCAAGTTCAGGTACCGTCGTATTGTAATGGAGGCTGTCCATACAAGGCCAGACCGTATGGTATTGAACCCTTTTCCGCCTCAAGGTTAAAAACCGAACCTGGCAGTTTCTACTCTCTACCTAGTAGGCCACTGCCTCTGGTTGGAAATGGCAATGGTACCTACTATGAGAAGCTATGGCCAACTAACCCGTAGTGTAGTCATTTTTCGTGGAGCCGTGCTTGCTCCGCATCTCCTTCATCTCCGAGGCACCGAGCAATTAGGTGGCAAAGAGAACAAGATCCGTGTAGATGTTACAAAGTACAAGGGACGAGCAATCAGGTTGAACCTGACTACGTACTTGACCAGGGGGGCCAGCAGTTCTGACATGCGGCAGTGATCAGGCCAGCAGCCGCTCAGGTCTTTCTTCTAGAAGCATCATCACCTTCAACCTTGTTTCTACCTCCCGGTAGCAGTGACAGGGACAGCTCCCTCCAGGACTAGATTGGGGAGTCCTAATATCATGCAGCACCTACTGAAGCTGCCAGTGGGCATGCTTTTTGAATATATTATTTGTAAAGTCCGAGGTTCTTCCTGCTGTGTAGGACCAGAGCTAAGCGTATTGTTATAAGTATACGTGAGATGGCCATGCCTGGAGGAGGGAGGGTTGTGACGGTGTTGCCTTGGGCTCTCCATCTAGTATCTTCTTGTCCCGCATCAACTTGAAAACCAACAACATCAAGCCATCCATCCATTCATCCAGCCCACTCCAACTACCTCAACACTCTCTCCGTATCCCTTGACCTCCATCCTCCTGAGACGGACAATTTACTCCCGCTGCGCCCCTTGTCCTGTCTTGCTTTGCTTTTTCATTTTCTGCCGTTCCCGCCGTGAGCGCAGCCAGCTAATCCCTTCTCCATCGCACTACTTGCCCGCAACGACACGCCATGGACCCCATCGTCGATGCCGAACAGGCGAGGAAGTTGTCGCTTTTCCGACCTCTTGGTAAGCAGCCAGTCAGATTAGCCTTTCATTCCCCGTGCCGGCATCATTGGCCCCAGTGATCTCTGCTCCGTCACCGATTCTTTGGATCGGAAATCCTGTGCCCCTCTTGCCTTGTCTTTGATGTACACTCTTTTTGGCTGCCCCTCATTCCCGGCCAAATTCCCCTCACTCTCAACTTTCCGGTCAAAAGCACCCCCGATACACACATAGTAGTATCTACCCTCTTTGTCTTGGCCTCCTCATTCCCACTTAGGCCCATTTCTATCTCTGCACTGGGACGGATATCCTCCGATCAACTAATGAGAGTCGTCCTGAGACTGCTCCATCGTTATCACTATGGCTGCGCCAACATGCCCTAACTCAACTATCTCTAGGTTACCAGCGCAACTCCTGTGGTTACTGCAAATCTGATAATGGAAGTGAGTCTGTCCGGACCCACCCTCGATTTCTCCTCTGCCGTAGTAGTCCATCGCGGAAATGTCGTC